GGGGGGTGGGGGGGGGTGGGGGGAGGGGAGGAGGAGGAGGGGAGAGGGGAGGGGGGGGAGGGGCTTGGTCGTACGTTGGGTTAGTTGAAAGAGAGAGAAGGGTGTGTGGTGCTTGTTGCGTTGGCTTGCTTGCTGGTCGGTCGCGGCGCTTTGCTTGGTTGCTTGCTTGCGCTTTGCTTGGTTTGGCTAATGGCGTTGCGTCGAATTCGCGGCGGCGAGGGGCGAATGTCATTCGCAAAGGCATTTGTTCCGGCTATTTGTTCGCGCGCTCAATTGGGGGGGGAGGGAGGGGAGGCGAGCGAAGACGGGCTGCGCTACGCGGTGTGGATCGAGTCGGGGAGAAAGGCGTCGAGCTTGCCTTCGCCGTGCTGGTAGCCGATCGAGCCGATCGAGTCAAAGTAGTCGCAAGCGGTGGCGGCAAAGTTGTCGACCGGGTGGATGCCGCCCTCGGAAGATGAGCTCCGGCTTGCCGGGGCCAGGCAGCCGATGGGGCGAATGGCCCCGAGTTCGGGTTGCCTGAGTGGGCAAAGTTGCCCCAGTAAGCCAGCATCTGCTCGGAAAGCTCGAGTTCATCGGGGGTAAAGACCGGCTCGGCTGGCGACGGTCCGCGGACGACGGAGAACATAAAGGGAAGGCCCGAGCCGTGACAGACTTGGTGGAAGCAAAAGGTGTAGTTTGCGCCCCAGCCGGAGCGGGCAAACGACCATGGGTGGTCAAAGAGGTAGGCGTAGACCGGGGCGTTCTGGGCCATGGCCTCCATGGCGTAGCGCTGTGGGCAGATCATAACATAGTAGGTGGCGAGATGTGACATGGGAACGCGCGAGTCGATGACGTTGCCCGGGAAGAGGTCGAGGACACGCGGGGCGTGGAGGCCGAAGACGCCGGCGACGATGGCTTCGTACTCTGTCTTGGAGAGCGGGTGCTGGACGGCGTCGTAGATAAAGATGACACCTTCGTTGGCGACGTTGCCCATGATCATGGGTTTGCGCTGGACCTTGCCAGCCCGCATAGCCGTCAGCTGGTTGTCGGGCACAGGTCCGGCCTTGTTGACGTTCCAGGGGAGAAAGACCGAGAGCGGGTGATCGACAAACAGGTGCGACTGGCTCGCGTACTCGGCCTCGAGAACGCTTGCCACCGGTTTGCCCCGCATGCACTCGGTCGTCTTGCACGACATGTTGGCCATGACGAGCGCGCCGAGCTGCGCGCCGTACTTGGGGTTGGAAATGGCGAGACCGATGGTCGACGACATGACGACGGCCTGCTCAAACAGCGGCGCCGACGACGGCGCAATGAGGTGCGCGGCGAGCGAGCCAGCGCCGGCCGACTGGCCCATCAGCGTCCGGCGGGACGGATTGCCGCCAAAGGCGGCCACGTTGTCGGCGACCCACTTGAGAGCGAGCTGCTGGTCGAGAAAGCCAAAGTTGCCCTCGAGCTCGTCGGTAACCAGCCAGCCGAGGGCACCGAGGCGATAGTTGATGGTGACGACCACGACGCCAGTGGCGTTTGCCAGATACTGGCCGTTGTACACCGGCACGTCAGCCAGGCCCTGCTGAAAGTGGCCGCCGGGCATGAAGATCATGACCGGCGCGTTGGAGGCGGCGACTGGAGCAAAGACATTGAGGGTGAGGCAGGCCTCGCTGGTGGTGGTGGGACAGGTGTGTGGCGGGAGGAAGCAGCGCTGCGGGCAGCCGATCGCCTTGGACTCGCCCAGCGCCATCGTCCCGTTCCACACACCCTTAGCCACCGGAGGCATCCACCGCAGCGCACCCGTCGGTGGCTCTGCAAACGGAATGTTGTAAAAGGCGCGCACCTGCGTGGCCTCCAACAACACGCCCGACATGCGTCCGGCCGGCGCGTCGACCACAGGCGGAGCAGCGGAGGTGAGGGAGAGGATTAGCGTGAGAGAAATGACAAGGGTGTACATGGTGTACATGGTGGCGGTGGTGCGGAGAGGGATGTGTGTGTGCGTGTGTGTGTGTGTGTGTGTGTGCGTGTGTGCGTGTGCGTGTGTGCGTGTGCGTGTGTGCGTGTGTGCGTGTGTGCGTGGAGGGATGGGTTTTGGTGGTGGCACTTTTCACTTTGATTTTTTTCGGGCGGCATGGTCACGTGCCGGACGATGCGAGTCATAGTGGTGGTGCTTGCTGCGGTGGTCGGTGTGGTGTATGGCGCGCATTGCCATGGGCAGGTATGGAAGGGAGGGGGAGGGGGGGGGGGGGAGGGGAGGGGGGACGGGGGAGGGGAGGGGAGGGGGGAGGGGGGAGAGGGGCAGGCACTCACACATGTACGGGAACGGGCATGGCGGTTGCGGGCATGGCGGGTGCGGGCATGGCGGGTGCGGGCATGGCGGGTGTGGGCACGGCGGGTGTGGACATACTTGGGTGCGGACATACTTGGCGGGACGGGCATGGGTATGTGTGGGTGTGTGGGTGTGTGGGGGGGGATAGCCAAACCCCAACGCGCCACAGAACTTGCTGCCGGTCAACACAGGCGAGCCAGAGCTGGTGGCGACGCATGCCAACGGCAAGCTGTTCCGGGCAGGGACGAGCGAGGGCTCGTTCTACGTCCTCCATCTGTGGGGCACGCCGTACGAGTGTGGGGTGGCGCAGGGCACACTCCTCAAGGACGAGGTCAAGGCCTTTGTCAACGGAGTGTACGCGTACATCGAGGACCAGATCGACCTCGCCCTCAACTCGACCAAGCCCGGGCACTACGTCCCGCACTGGCTCCTCAACGACATTGCTGAGTTTGGCATCGACGCGGCGCTCGATCTGGAGATCGCTGCGACGCGCCCATGGACTCCGGCGTACTTTCTGGAGGAGATCAAGGGCCTCGCCGACGCGACCGGGCTCTCGTACCTCGCCATCGAGCGGGTCCACCTGCTCGGTGAGCTTACCAAGGGCGGATGCTCGCTGCTCTCGGCATACGACTCGGCCATTACTAGCGAGTACTCGCTGCTCGGCGTCCGTGCGCTTGACTGGAACACCGACGCCGTGTTTGTGGACCACGCGCAAGTCACGGTCTACCACCCGTCGGGCGACTGGGGCAAGCAGGGACCCGGGCACGCCTTTGCCAACGTAGGCTTCTCCGGCTTTATCGGCTCGTTCAACGGCGTCTCGGCAGCCAACACGTACTCGCAGGAGATCGGCGTGACGTTTCCTGACGAGACGTTTGGCAAGGAGTCGCGGTTCGGCATCCCGTTCACGTATCTCCTCCGCGACCTCATCCAGTTTGACGAGACCATCGAGCAGGCCGAGACCCGGGTGCGTGACGCCAAGCGGACATGCGATCTCATCCTCGGCTTTGGCCACCTCGGCGACTCTGACGGCGAGCCGTTCCGCGCCATCCAGTACTCGGCCTCGGTCGCCAACTTTTTCAACTCGACCACGCTCATGCCGCTCACCTCGTGGCATCCGCGCATGGAAGACCTCGTGTACTACGAGGGCGACTGGCTCTGCGAGCAGGGCGACGTCGTCATGCATCGCCAGCTCGCCTACGCTCATGGCGAACTGAGCCCCGAGCTCGTCATCAAGAACATCACCTCGGTTGTCGCCACCGGAGACACCTTCACCTCGGTCTACGGCTTCCGCCACGATGGCCAGCACGCACTCTACCAGGCGTTTGCCCGCTCGTCGTCCGAGTCCGGGCCAGACCCCGCGTACCTGCGCCAGTTCACCAAGCTCGATCTCGCTGACCTCTGGGCCGAGGCCAAGCCCACGCTGTAGCCTCTCACAGTACAGGTCACTTGCTTTTTGCCAGGCGCGGAGGCGAGCAAAGCCGCACGCGCCACCTTGGCGGCTACCGGTACAACCACCGCCACACGCACCCGCGCAAGCACCTCGCCACCACTCCACCACTCCACCACGCCACGCATTCAGGCCGTATGACTAAGGCGTGTGACGTGTACAAGGCCACGTCGCCGGTGGACTACCATGCGTATGTTGGTCAGGGAGGGGAGGGGGGGGAGAGTGCATGCGCGAGCAGTAGGGAGCACTCATGGGGGGCATGGATGGGGGGTGGCAATACGGGTTGTGGCTGTGGTGGTCGTGGTGGTCGTGGTGGTCGTGGTGGTCGTGGTGGTCGTGGTGGTCGTGGTGGCTGTGGTGGTCGTGGTGGTCGTGGTGGTCGTGGTGGTCGTGGTGGTCGTGGTGGTCGTGGTCGTGGTGCTGGTTGTGGTGGTCGTGGCCATCGTGGTCGTCGTCGTCGCTGTGGTGGTCGTCCGTTGGTTGTGTTGTGCCGATCGTGGTCGTGCTGATCTTCGTGGTGCTGGCCGTCGTGATCGTGCTGTGCTGGTCTTCGTGGTGGCTGCTGCTCCTGTCGACAGTATGCTGACACACATTCCCACAGCAGGCATTGTGTTCGGACTGACGCTGTCGATTCTGGGAATGCTCTCGGTAGTGCCGCAGCACATCAAGCTGCTGAAGCGAAAGACAAGCGAGGGTATGTCATCACACTGGCTCACGCTCTCCAACACCCAGATGTTCTCCTCGGTCTGTAACATCACGCTCCTCAAGTTCCCCATCCTCAAGGGCTGCTCGGTCATCGGCTTTGGCGCTTGCTACCCATCGCTCATTGCCCTCGCCCAGCGCGGCATCTGGCTCGTCATCTTCCCCATCATCTTTGAGTTCCTCCTCTACTTTCCGCCGCGCATCGACGCTTGGACCCGGCGCTCGTTTGTGGTCGCCATCCTCGAGGTTGTCCTCCTCCTCTGCTACATGGTCGCCGTCGTCACCTCGGCCGCCGTCCTCGTCAACCACTTTGGCCCGTGCCACGACTCGGTCCTCTACTTTGCAAACATCCTCGGCCTGGTGGCCACTGTGGCCAACATCATCCAATGGATGCCTCAAATCTACACCACCTTTTCCGCAAAGCGCGTCGGCTCCATGTCCATCGTCATGGTTGCCGTCGGCGCTCCGGGCAACTTTCTCGTTCTCTTCTTCCTCGCGTTTGTCTCCAAGGAGTCGGTCACAACATGGCTGCCCAACCTCTCCGCCGCCCTCCAGCAGTCCATCCTCCTCGCCCTCCTCCTCACCTACCGCCGCCGCGAGAAGCTCATCGCACAAGCCTCGCCCTACGTCGAGATCTCAGAGGACACCCCTCTCGTCGGCCCGTCAAAGCCCTCGGTCGCAACGTAACAGTAAACATCCCAGCTAAGCGAGTGGCCGCGCTGACCGCAGTGTCCAGCCGAAGATTAAAGATCACGTCCCGTGGGACACACAGTTGAGCATGTGCTCATGGCACAGCTAAAAAACTCGCCAAAACCCCCCTCAGCAGGCATCAACCGTCTTCTTCACGTGTGTCCAGCCTAGCCATGCCCTCTGATCTGCAAGTGACGCCCTCAGGCACCCGCAGGAGCCGTTGATGTGGCCAGCCTCCTCGGCCAACCTGGTCGACGCCTCGATCGATCCTTGGCAAGACTCGGCCGAGCCGAGCCGACAGGTCCACTTGTCGCCGCCATGTCGTCCACTAGCGCCAGCCACCGGTGCATGGCATGCGGGGTGGATCTGGAGCGTGGGGCGTATTCGAAGCGCCAGTGGAGCAAGGGAAGCGGCTTTGGGCGGTGCACCGGGTGCGTGGCGGCCGGGCTGGCATCCCCCACCGCCGTGCTCGACCACATGGCACAGCGGGCGACACTCAAGGCCGCCGAGGCCGAGGCAGCCGCGCTCCGGACGGCTGGCTCGTCAGGCGTGGCGACCGAAAACCGCTCTGCAGACGAGGCCCAGGAGGCCGCCGACGTCCGCGCTGCTGTGGCAACCGCTCGCGCTGAGCAGGTGGCTGACGATCGGGAGGCAGCGACGAGCGTGCTGGCGGTGGCCACGTCGGCGCATGACGCGCGGGCCGCGGCCGTCGACGCCTTGGAAGCTGATGCCGCCCGCCGGGACGCTGCACGGCGGGCAGAGGAGGAGGCGGCCGCAGCAGAGGCTGCCGAGAAGCGAGCGGCAGCGGCGAGGCGAGAGGCCGAGGCGCGGAGGCGCGTCGTTGCCGAGCGCGCTGCTGCTGGCCTCACCCCGATGCCCGAGAACGCGCCGCTGCTGCCGGCGAGTGCCAGCGCCGCTGCTGGCAGAGATGGCAGCAGCAGCGGCGGACGCGGCAAGTCCTGCTGCTGTGTTGTTCAATAGCGGCCGTCCTAGTCCTGAGCCTCGGCCGAGACACGGGCGGCGTTGTGCTGCTCGCGGGCGAGGCGGCGGCTGTCCTCGTAGCGCGCACGGTCGCGGAGGTATGAGCCGGCGACCGCGACGTGGGAGACCCGCGCACCGTAGCGCGGGATGCCGAACAGTTGCTGCGCGTGGGCCGCGGTACCGTGCGGCGAGAAGGCGTCGAGCTCGAGGTTGGGGTCGATAGCGCGCACGGTTGTCGGCGCGAGAGCACGGATCTGCCGGCCGATGATGGCGTGTGTGGCCATGCGCTCATCGCGGAGCTCCACAGCAGCGGCGTAGGCCGCCTTTTGCTCCGGCGCCCGGTGCTCGGAGCGAGCAACAACATCAATGAGCTTGGTCGTCAGCGGCTTGTCGTCGCGTGCGGGCTCGGGCTTGTGCTCGGGCCCGGGCTGGAGCGTCGCCCCAACGTCTGGCGCGTCTGGATCGCTGTTTGTCTCGGACAAGGACGACGGCCACTCGGGCGGGCAAGGGTCGGCGGCAGAGTCAGGCCGTAGCGGGCGCGATGCTCGGCTGCAGTCCATGTCTCCCCGTGTGCCGCAGTAGTGCCCGCGACCGCCATCAGCTCGGGATGCGAGAGCGCGACAAACATGAGCGCAGTTTGCTCGGTGCGGAGCAGGTCAAAGCTCGCGCGGAGGAGGCCGGCATGGCCGAGGTATGCGGCGAGTGAGCAGGCGGCACCGATGCCGCGAAAGACGGTGAACGGCTCGTCGAGAAAAACGACCGAGCCAACAAAGGCGGCGGTGTAGGCGGCAACTCGCCAGAGAACATGCATGTCGAGCGGGAGGCCGAACGCGAGCGGCGCCTCGAGGAGAGTGTGCACGATGCGAGCGGCGGCGCAAAGGACGCACGCGCCGAGAGCGAGCCAAGCTTTGAGCGAGCCGTCGAGGAGGCTGACCGAGCCTGAAGAGGCGCTTGGCTCGGCGAGAGTCGCGGCAAGAGCAAAGGCCGGGAAGAGGACGAGGTGGACGGTGAGGGCATGGAGCTCGACCGTCGACGACATGTCGACGCCGACGAGGATGTGCGGGTCGTACACGCCCGACAAATACAACTTGTCGAGCGCGTAGATATGGGCTAGCGGCACGTCGTCGATGTTTGAGAAGACGTGAAAAGCCGGGACGTGGCCTAGCGGGCGGAGCCCGGCGTCGGCGGGGTTGGCATGGCGGGCGTCGGCCGAGGCGAGCGTCCGCGCCCAGCGGACATCCAGCACATACGACCGGAGGCGCGAGCGGCAGAGCAGCGCTGCGAGCATGACACCCGTTCCGCGCGCGACCGACGCCAGTATGGCGGCGAGGCTGATGGCGGCACCAAGGCCCACCGCAGTCGACGGCAACGCCAACGAGGCCTCACCGCCGTCGGACGATCGGATAAAGTAGGCAGCAGCACCGGCGACCGCCAGTGCTGCCGGACCGAGATGGACGGCAGTCGACGAGCGTGAGGCATGCGAGATAAAGAAGCCGCGTCCGAGGGCAGCAAGACCAGGCTCGAGGCCTAGGAGGACGAGGAAGAGGCCGACCGGGAGCGAGGCGAGCGAGGTGGCGCCGACCGAGGCGACGGCGGTGACGACCGATGCCAGCGCCAGTGCGGCATTGATCTTGATAGGAAGGAAGAACCGACCTCCCGACGCAGCAGCCGGCGGCGATCGTATGCTTCGGGTGACAAAGAGCGCAAGAGCGGCGAGGAAGGGCGGGCCGGTGGCGGCGGCGGCGAGCGCAAGCGGGTTGCCCACCTTCAACTTGAGCTGGGTGTAGCGGACAAAGAAGACGAGGCCAAAGGATGAGCCGACAAAGTGGGTGGCGAGGAGCGCCAGGTATCGTATGGTCGTCACGGCCGCCCCGCGGGCATCTTGAGCCATTGGAGACGGCTGTGTGAGGCAAAGTGAGGGAAGGGGGGGGGGGGCGCGGCGGGCGAGGTGGGAAGGGGATGGGTGGGGGGTGGGGGGTGGGGCTGTGAAAAAAATTGCAGCAGCGCTCGTGGTGTCGGCGATTTCGCGGAAGCGAGCGAAGCGAGGAAAACAGGTGTGGCAAGGAGACAACAGAGGGAGGGGGACGGGGACGGGGACGGGGCGGACACACGTCGCGGGAGGAGACTTCTGGACTGCAGGCGGACGCAAACAGGACCGAGAGGCAGGCAGGCTAGTCAGCATGGCGACGTTGTTCCAGGTGACGGCGCTGTATGAGTATGTGGCGCAGAACGAGGAGGAAGTGTCGGTGCCCGAGGCCGCCGTCCTCGACGTCATCGACGACTCGGACCCGGACTGGCCGGTGTGTGTATACAACGGGGTGACCGGGTATGTCCCCGGCAACTATGTCGAGCGCATTGAGGCGAGCGCACCTCCTCCGCTTCCGCCACCGGCTGCGCCCGCGGTGGTCTCGGGTGCTCTCCCGCCGCCGCCGCCGCCACTCGACGCTGCCGCTCCTGCGCCCCCGCCGCCGATGCCGGCCAAGCCCATGGCGGACGGCCTGCTGAGCATGCCGGGCGGAGCCGGGGGCGAAGAGCAGGTTCAGGGCAGGGAGCGGTCGGGGACGGTCGATGTGGCGACGATTGCGCTGCGGGCGCTGTCGATGGCCGATGAGGACCTAGGTGACGACGCCGACGAGGACGAGTGGGCCGACGATGGCTGGGGCGGGGACGACGGGTATGGTGACGGTTACGGGTATGGTGACGGTGACGGTTACGGCGACGGGGCTGGATACGGCGGCGGCGACGACGACGGATGGGGAAACGACGGTGGTGGTGGCGATGACGACTGGGGCTCGTCGGACGGGTGGGACTCGGATGGGGATGACGGCGGCGACGGCGGCGGCGGCGACATTGCGGGGGATGTCGACGATGTGTCGGACATGCTGTACGGGTGGGGTGTGATGGGCTACGACTACGAGGGTGCCGAGGAGGGCGAGCTGACGGTGGCGGCAGGCTCGCCCATTGAGCTTGTCGAGACGAGCGACGAGGACTGGTGGCAGGTGGCCACAATCGACGGAATCCGCGGGTATGTTCCGGCGTCGTTTGTGCAGGGCGAAGAGTCGAAGAAGCAGGTCAAGGCGTGGAAGAAGCAGGCCAAGAAAGCGCGCAAGGCGCGTCTGGAGGCCGAGCAGCGCGAGCTCAAGTCGACGGCCAAGGCCATGCGGAGCCTGAACAAGATGGAAGCTAAGCAGGCCAAGATTGACAAGCGTTTCTCCAAGATCCAGGCCAAGCAAAACGCCAAGCTGGAGGCCCGCCGTGAGCGCGAGGCCGCCAAGGCGCAGGCCCGCGAGTCGGCGCTCGCCGAGCAGACCAACGCGGCCATGGAAGAGTTTGAGGCCACCACGCTTGCCACCCAAGAGTCCATGCGCCAGCGGGTCGACGCCCTTGCCGAACAAAAGGCCAAGGAGGCCGAGCGGATGGAGGAGCTTCGGCGGAAGCGGGCGGCCGAGGCGGCCGAGAAGAAGGCGGCGGCAGCGGCGCGGCAGGCCGAGATCGAGGCCGCGCGCCGGGAGCGCGAAGAGGCGACCCGCCGGAAGCGCGAGATGGCTGCCAAGCGCGCCGAAGACATGCGGCGGCAGCGCGAAGAGAACGCGCGGCTGACTCGCGAGAAAGAGGAACGGCGGCGGCTGGCGCTGGAGGAAAAGATGCGCCGCGAGAAGGAGTTGGCAGATGCGCGGCGGTCGGCGCCGCCGTGTGGTCCCGTCGGGCTCGTTGCGCTGTCCGCTTCGCCGGCCTTCACCTGGCTCGGAACTCGGTTCGGTACGCGGCTCGTTTTCTGCTTCTTTCTTCTCTGTTCGTGTCTTCTCCTATGCCCCGCTCGCGCCACTCGCCGGGCGCC